TGATGCGATCTCAGCTCACTGCAACCTCTGCCTCCTGGGTTAAAGTGATTCTCCTGCCTCAGCCTCCTGAGTAGCTGAGACTATAGGCACGTACCACCACGCCGGGTTAATTTTTGTATTTTTAGTAGAGACGGGGTTTCACCATGTTGGCCAGGATGGTCTCAATCTCTTGACCTCATGATCCACCCACCTCAGCCTCCCAAAGTGCTGGGATTACAGGCGTGAGCCACCGCGCCCAGCCCTCTTTGCTATTTTCATGAATTTTTCTAGTTATATTTTAAAATTCTTTACACAAGGAATTATCAACTGTGGCATTTGGGCAGGATGACTAGAGTTGCATTAAAATGATACTTTTTTCTATAAAATGATCTTTATGATATTAAGATTCCTACTCAGAAACAAGTTGTGGCTCATCATTTCTTCAAATCGTTTTTCATGGCCTGCAACAATGGTTTTCCTTCATATAATTCCTACTTTCATATTAAAAGTTATATTCAAATATATTTAGCAAACTTTAGTTTCTTTTGTGAATGAAATCTTTTTTCACTGTTTGGTGGCTGATTACTACCAGTGCACGGGGCAAAGCCTCTTCTGCCCACGTTCAATACAGAATGCTTCACAAACTGTGTCATTGCGGTGCAAGGCCATGCCCATCACCCTCATCCTTTCCACTTTTGTATACATGCTGCCAATAAGAGCAAAGCAACTGCCTTGTAACTTTTCCAACATTTATTTTCAAAGTGTTCAAAGATATATACAGAAAAGTTCAAAGAATGTTGCAGTAATGACCTGTACAACCACCACCCAGATTCTACCAGCATTTTACTAGCCATCTGTCTTTTAACTGTCTCCCTACCCTAGGTTTACCCTTGTCTAATGTATTCTCTGCATTGTTGAAATAGTTATCTATCTAAACTATAAAAGACTTCAACAACACTCTCTGGGATAGCAGCCAAATTCTCGAGTAGAACATACACGGTCCTTCACAAGCTGACCCCAAGCCTCTTTCGGTATCATTTCCCACTACTCCTCTTTTCTTTGTACAGAGTGGCCTTCTCTGAATAGCTCTTACGTAGTCTTGATGAAATCCTACCTACCCTTCATCCCAGCTCAAATTGCACCTCCACCATCAGGCCTTCCCAGAATTCGACTGGCTCCATTAGTTGCTCCCATAAAGCTCCTATAAAGCTTTGCCCATGATCACAAACTAGAGTAAATATTGGCTTCTATGTCTGTCTTCCCCACTAGACCGTGACAGCATTCTTGCCTCATCCTTCTTCCTATCCTTGCCACCAAGCAGGGTGCCTGACACAGTGGGGCTCAACAGGCTGTGGGCACAGGAAATGACAAGATGACGAAGGAACTAAGAGCCCTCAGCTCTCTGTAGGACCATCTCTGATCTGGGAATGTAGGATACGCACCTGTACAGGCATGCCCAGCTCTAGCTTCAGCCCAAAACAAGGGTCAATGAAGATGGTGAGGATGGATTCTTTAGGGTCCTGGGCAAAGTGTTGCAGAACGGCATCATGCTCCTGTGTCCACACGGCATCCACCAGTCCCGTGAGCACAGCTCGGGAGAGAAAGAGGGGCTTCTATAGAAGGAGAGCAGACAGAGGGCCAAAGTAACTACAACTGTTGGGATGAGTCATTCCTCCCATCCACAATCGCAGGTGAGGACATGGGAGATGACAGAAGCCAGACAGGTTCAGAATGGTGAGGAGAAACTGAACCATTAAAAAAAAGAAGAACAGATCATAGAAGGAAACTGGGATATTATCCTTCCAACCCAAGACATTATCTTTATGCCTGTGGTTTTTAAAAATGTCAGCCCTGGATCTCAAAGGTAAAAGTGAATGAAGGGAATGTGTAGGATAGTAGCCTAGATCAAGCAATTAGGAGCAGGGAGACCATGAGCTGGAAAAGGGAGAAGGGTCCAGGAGCAATTTCTTCACCGTGGCATCCGAAAGAAGTGTAAGATACTGGGTAAAGTCAATTGGTGCAGCAGTAAGGAAAAAGTGAGGAGGAGAAAAGACAGAAAAACACCAAAGAACAAATTGATTAGAAGGAAAATATATTGCAAATGGTGGCTAGCAAAAAATTAATCTGTAGAACTCTACTAAATAAAGGGCCAGGAGTGGTGGCTCACGTCTATAATCCCAGCACTTTGGGAGGCCAAGGCAAATAGATTACCTGAGGTCAGGACTTTGAGACCAGCCTGGCCAACATGGCAAAACCCCTTCTCTACAAAAAATACAAGTATTAGCCGGGCGTAGTGGCACATGCCTATAATCTCAGCAACTTGGGAGACTGAAGCAGGAGAATCACTTGAACCTAGGAGGCAGAGATTTCAGTGAGCCAAGATCACCCCACTGCACTCCAGCATGGACAACAAAGTGAGACTCTGCCTCAAAAATAAATATATACACACACACACACACACACACACACACAAATTAGCTGGGCGCAGTTGCTTATGCCTATAATCCCAGCACTTTGGGAGGCCAAGGTGGGAGGATCACCTGAGGTCAGGAGTTTGAAACCAGCCTGGCCAACGTGGTGAAACCCCGTCTCTACTAAAATTACAAAAATCAGCTGGGCGTGGGGATGGCTGCCTGTAATCTCAGCTACTCAGGAGGCTGAAGCGGGAGAATCGCTTGAACCTGGGAGGCAGAGGTTGCAGTGAGCTGAGATCATGCCACTGCACTCCAGCCTGGGTGGCAGAGCAAGACTCCATCTCGAAAATAAATAAATAAAGGAAATCAGAAGATATGAAGATACAGCTCAGTGAACTTGTGAAGTCTTTTCATCTTTCCTCCTGGAAGAAGGAATCTCTCTTAAAGTTTCCAGGTCAAGGAAAATTAATAGTGATCGAAAATCTTTCCTCTAATACATATAGACAGGATGAACTAATGAGAAAAACACTAGGAACTCAATAAATAAATAGATAAAAGGAGATGAAGAGATGTCATTTACTTAAATGCAAATATAAAAAAAATATTTTCACTTGAAATCGAATGCAAATAAAAATAACAAAGAAGGCCAGTCATGGTGGCTCATGCCTGTAATCCCAGCACTTTGGGAAGCTGAGGCAGGTGGGTCACCTGAGGTGAGGAGTTCCAGACCAGCCTGGCCAACAAGGTGAAACCCCAACTCTACTAAAAGTACAAAAATTAACCCAGCATGGTGACATGTGCCTATAATCCCAGCTACTTGGGAGGCTGAGGCAGGAGAATCACTTGAACCTGGGAGGCAGAGGTTGCAGTGAGCCAAGATAGCGCCATTGCACTCCAACCTGGGTGACAGAGCAAGACTCTGTCTCAAAAAAAAAAAAAAAAGAAAATCATTTATTGTCTATCATTTTTTAAAAAAATCCTTGCTAAACAGGTAATACCCAGGCCTGGAAAAGGTGTCTTATTAGCCTGAGGGCAAAAAGTACAATGCATTTGGAAAGCGTTATGTATTAAAAGTGATAGAAATGTTCTTTATTCTTTGATTCAGTAACTCCACATACAGGAATCTATTTAAAGGAAATATTAAGTATTTCAAGAGTGTTAGTTTTACTTATCATATTCACGAAAGTATTAAGAGAGCAAAAATTTGAAATGGCAAAATGTCCAAGAGGCATGGTTTAACTATGGTGCCTGCATAGAACATAGAACACCATCTGGTCTTGAAAAATGGTGTTTGCAAAAAGTGGTGGCCCTGTGGCTCACATCTATAATCCAAGCTCTTTTGGAGGCTAAAGCAGGAGGATGACTTGAGCCTGGGAGTTCAAGACTAACCTTGGCAACACAGTAAAACCACAATCTCCACCAAAAACAATTTTTTTAAAAAATTAGCCAGGCATGGTGGCACATGCCTGTAGTCCTAGCTACTCAGGAGGCTGAGGCAAAAAGACCACTTAAGCCCAAGAGTTCAAGGTTACAGTAAGCTATGATTGTTTCAGTGCACTCCAAATTGGACAACAGAGAAAAAGCCTTTCTCTTAAAAAAAAATTTACAAAAAGTACATAACGTGAAGAATAACAGCTGGGCATTAAGGCTCACACCTGTAATCTCAGCACTCTGGGAAGCCAGGAGTTCAAGACCAGTCTGGCCAACCTGGCAAAACCTTGTCTCTACTAAAAATACAAAAATTAGCCGGGTGCCTGGGCACAATGGCTCACGCCCGTAACCTCAGCACTTTGGAAGGCCGAGGCAGGAGGATCACTTGAGCCCAGAAGTTCAAGACCAGTCTGGACAACACAGTAAGACCCTGTCTTTAAAAAAAAAAAAAAAAAAAATTAGCCAGGTGTGGTGGCAGGAATCTGTAGTCCCAACTACTCAGGAGGCCGAGCCATGAGAGTCACCTGAGCCTGGGAGGCGGAGATTGCAGTGAGCCAAAACTACGCCACTGCACTCCAGCCTGGACGACAGACCAAGACTCTGTCTCAAATAATAATAATAATAAAATTAAAATATTTTGTGAAAAAGCATAATACAAAACTGTAACATGATACCCTTAGGATTACATAAAAACAAACTTACAAGCCTGTGCCCAAAAAGAAAATATATATCAAAATATCATTATTATATATATATTTTTTGAGACAGAGTTTTGCTTTTATTGCCCAGGCTGAAGTGCAATGTCGCAATCTCAGCTCACTGCAACCTCCGCCTCCCAGGTTCAAGCAATTCTCCTGCCTCAGCCTCCCAAGTAGCTGGGATTACAGGCTCCTGCCACCACACTCTGCTAATTTTTGTATTTTTAGTAGGGGGGAGTTTCACCATGTTGGCAAGGCTGGTCTCAAATCTTGACCTCAGGTGATCCACCCACCTCAACCTCCCAAAGTGCTGGGATTACAGGCTTGAGCCACTGTGCCCAGCCAGACATATCAAAATATTAATATTAAATGTGTTTGGGCAGTAACGCTATGAGTTTTATTTTCTCTGTTTTACTTTTCTGTTCTTTCTAATTTTTTTCTTCGATAGTTATTACTTGTCTCTCCCTTTTTGAAAAATTTCAAGGTCATCACTCTATTCTTCTCACTCAGGTAACTACGGTCATGAGTAAACTTTGATGCAATTTGGAAATAAAGAAGCAGAGGTCATTTAGTGCCATTTCTCAAGGGGCCTGAAGCAGCTTCTCTGAATTCTTCAGCCAAAGGAAAGAACTGAAGGAAAGTTGGAAAGAGAAAGTCTTAGAAATTAGTATCCAATTGGCTGGGCATGGTGGCTCCCGCCTGTAATCCCAGCACTTTGGGAGGCTGAGGCAGGCGAATCACAAGGTCAGGGGTTTGAGACTAGCCTGGCCAATATGGTGAAACCCTGTGTCTACTAATAATACAAAAATTAGCGGGTGTGGTGGCGTGCCCTATTGTCCCAGCTATTCAGGAGACTGAGACAGAATAATTGCTTGAACCTGGGAGGCAGAGGTTGCAGTGAGCCAAGATTGTGCCACTGCACTCCAGCCTGGGCGATGGAGTGAGACTCCATCTCAAAAAAAAAAAAAGAAAAGAAATTAGTATCCAATTAGGACAATATCTTCCCAGCTCATTCAACTTGTTCAGGTATTCACCCACATGATGAAGAAGCTCATCACAGTTTGACCCAAGCTGGGGAGACAAGAGACAAGAGAGACCTGTTCCTTACTTAAAGCCCTCCTCTCGCCTGCCGAAAGCACAGTTGACTTTGTATTTTACTCAGTGAACTGAATTTGTGGTGAGTGGTAGGCTAACAGCAGAGAACAGGTAGGAGAAGAGAGAATTCCTCATGCACCATCCACAACTGACCCTTTGATTCACCAGTTATTGAGGAGGAAGATTTGCCGCAGGGAAGACCCAAGCCTACCACATCTGCCTCAGGTTCCACGGATTCTTCACTCTGTGTTTGAGGTCCCTCCAACCGTGGCTCTGGGAAGAATAAAGATACAAAAAGGAAGGCATTCCTTGGAAAGTTAAACATAGTCAGCCAGGCGCAGTGGCTCAAGCCTATAATCCAAACACTTTGAGAGACCGAGGCTGGTGGATCACCTGAGGCCAGGAGTTTGACACCAGCATGGCCAACATGGTGAAACCCCATCTCTACTAAAAATACAAAATTAGCCAGGCATGGTGGTACACACCTGTAATCCCAGCTACCTGGGAGGCTGAGGCAGGAGAATCACTACCCAGGAGGTAGAGGTTGCAGTGAGCCACGACAGTGCCGCTGCCCTTGAGCCTGGGGGACAGACTGAGACCCTGTCTCAAGAAAAAAAGAAAAGAAAAAAAAAGTTAAATGCAGTCACCCAATGATGCAGCAATTCCACTCCTTTTTTTTTTTTTTTGGGGGGGGGAGGGAGTTCCCCAGGCTGTGCAATGGCGTGATCTCGGCTCACTGCAACCTCTGCCTCTCGGGTTCAAGTGATTCTCCTGACTCAGCCTCCCCAGTAGCTGGGACTACAGGTGCATGCCACCACGTCTGGCTAATTTTTTATATTTTAAGTAGAGATGGGTTTCACCGTGTTGGCCAGGATAGTCTCCATCTCCTGACCTTGTGATCTGCCTGCCTCGACCTCCCAAAGTGCTGGGATTACAGGCATAAGCCACTGAGCAATTCCACTTCTAGGTAGACATCCATGAGACCTGAAAGCAAGGACTCAACGGGATATTTACATTCCAGTGTTGGCAGCAGCATTATTCACAACAGGCAAAAGGTGGCAACAGCCCAGTGTCCTCTAACAGAAGAATGGATAAACAAAATGTGATGTATACATGCAGCGGGATATTATTCAGCCATCAGAAGGCATGGCGGTGCGCTTCATGCTGCAACACGGATGAACCTTGAAAACACAATGCCAAGTGGAAGAAACCAGTCACAAGAGACTATACATGGTCTGATTTCGCTTAGATGAAACGTCCAGCATAGGCAAATCTATAAAGATGGAAAATAGATAAGCAGTTCCTGGGACGTGGGGGGAAGCGGGAGCCAGGAGTGACTGCTAAAAGCCGAGGCTCTGATGCAACTTAGAAGTAAAGATATAGAAGTCACCTGGTGCCAATTTCTCAAGGTGCTTCAAATGGCTTTCTTTTGGCGGGATAAAAATGTTCTAAAATTAGATAGTGGGAACATTGCACAGCTTTGCAAATATACCAAAAACCACTGAATTGTAGACTTTAAAAGGGTGAATTTTATAGTCAGTGAATTATCTCTCAACTTAATGTAAAAAGCTGACTGGGGCTGGGTGTGGTGGCTCATGTCTATAATCCCAGCACTTTGGGAGACCGAGGCAGGTGGATCACCTGAGGTCAGGAGTTCGAGACCAGCCTGGTCAACATGGTGAGACCCTGTCTCTATTAAAAACACAAAAGATTAACTTGGCATGGTGGTACATGCCTGTAATCCCAGTTACTTGGGAGGCTAAGGCAGGAGAATTGCTTGAACCCAGGAGACGAGTTCAAGTGAGGTTGCAGTGAGCCAAGATCACACCACTGCACTTGAGCCTGGGCGACAGAGCAAGATTCTGTCTCAAAACAGGAAAAAAAAAACCTGACTATGGTAGGGGTGAGGGAATGAAGGCGGTTAGTACTAAGGTTATTCCAGGCATGCAGCTTCTGGCCCTCCATCTTCCCCCACTCCTCTTCCCACATGGAGAAGCTGAGGCCCTCAGGAATCAGCCCTTCTCCAAACCACTGGCCTGCTGGGCACTCAATTCTGCACACCCACTCCGGACTCCCATAAAACCCAGGGGGCTCTGTTCTCTGCCTCCTGAACTACTGGTCGCACAGGAGATTGGGGCAAAACTGGTCGTTTCCCCATCCCCAAGGGACTGAAAAGAGGAAGGAGCAAATGAGATATAACCAAAAGCCTTTAGGGAACGGGGCACTCCACTCTGATTTCCAGAAAGGAAAACTAACAGGGGAGTGAGGCAGGAAGACAGGAAAAGATGGAATAGGCGATTCTGGAGCTTAGTGGTAGGTGCGATGATCCAACTCCCTTGGGAAAACTGCTGGCATTCAGATTCCAGACAAGAACTAGGCCAGGGGAGTCCAGGTGTGGTGGCTCATGCCTGTAACCCCAGCACTTCTCAAGGCCAAGGCAGGTGGATCACTTGAGGACAGGAGTTTGAGACCAGCCTGGGCAACATGGTGAAACCCCATCTCTTCTAAAAATACAAAAATTAGCCAGGTGTGGTGGCACATGCCTGTAATCCCAGCTACTCTGGAGGCTGAAGCACAAGAATGACTTCAACCCAGGAGACAGAGGTTGCAGTGAGATGAGATCGTGCCACTGCACTCCAGCCTGGGCAACAGAACAAGAGAAAAATAAAATAAAATAAAAAAAGAACTAGGCCACGGAAAGGAGACTGACACAATGTCAAGAGCAAACTGGTTTTGTCTTTCATAATACAATTGATATAAAGTCTACAATTTGCCATGCCTCTAGGATAATGATATATAATGTTCATGGACACATGCAGTAAAAAAAAAAAAAAAACGCTTGAGAATGATAAACAGCTCAGGGTAGTGGTGACTGCTGGAAAAGGGGATTTGGAGAGGGGCAAAAAGATGGATTCACAGCTAGGCACAGTGGTTCACCCCTGTAATCCCAGCACTCTGGGAGGCCGAGATGGGCAGATCGCAAGGTCAGGAGATTGAGACCATCCTGGCCAACATAATGAAACCCCATCTCTACTAAAAAAACAACAAAAAAAAAAATTAGCCGGGCGTGGTGGCGCATGCCTGTAATCCCAGCTACTCGAGAGGCTGAAGCAGGAGAATCGCTTGAACCAGGGAGGAGGAGGTTGCCATGAGCCTAGATCAAGCCACTGCACTGCAGCCTGGCGACAGAGCTAGATTCTGTTTCAAAAAAAAAAAAAGAGGGATTCGCTTGTTACTGTCATGATTTATTCTCACATTAGGTGGTAGGTACATGAGTGTTATTACATTGTTTTCTACACTTCTCTGTTTTGCCTGTAATATAGCTCTACAATCCCTCATCCAAAATGCTTGGAGTCAGGTATATTTCGGAACTTAGAACAGTAATATAGTATGGTATGTAATCCCCGACCACTACCTCCTAGTGGGCTCCAAAACAGCACTTACTCAGACTTTTCCTATTATGAGTACTTCTGCAGTGAAACATATGAATATTTATACTAAAGTGGTTTTAAAAAGACTATAAATACTTTCATGTCAGTTTAGGTTAGGTTTTACCACCAAATAAGTTTAGATGCCAAACTTAGGGGGAAAAAAAACCTTTCAGTCATTGGAGGTTTTGAAAATTACAGGCCAGGCGCAGTGGCTCACACCTGTGATCCCAGCACTTTGAGAGGCTGAGGCAGGTGGATCACTTCAGCCCAGGAATTCCAGACCAGCCTGGGCAACATAACAAAACCCCATGTGTACAAAAAAATACATAAATTAGCCAGGCATGTTAGTGTGAACCTCTAGTCCCAGCTACTCTGGAGACTGAGGTGGAAGGATCATTTGACTGAGACTCTCTCAAAAAGAAGGCCGGGCGCGGTGGCTCACGCCTGTAATCCCAGCACTTTGGGAGGCTGAGGTGGGCAGATCATGAGGTCAGGAGTTTGAGACTAGCCTGGCCAACATAATAAAACCCCATCTCTACTAAAAAAACAACAATTAGCTGGGCATGATGGCAGACGCCTGTAATCCCAGCTGCTGGGGAGGCTGAGGCAGGAGAATCACTTGAGCCCAGGAGGTGGAGGTTGCAGTGAACTGAGATCTCGCTATTGCACTCCAGGTTGGGTGACAGAGCAAGACTCTGTCTCAAAAAAAAAAAAAAAAAAAAAAAATTAGCCGGGCATGGTGGCGTGTGCCTATAATCCCAGCTATTCGAGAGGCTGAGGCTGGAGAATTGCTTGAACCTGGGAGGCAGAGGTTGCAGTGAGCCAAGGTCACACCATTGCACTCCAGCCTGGGAAAAAAGAGCAAAACTCTGTCTAGAAAAAGAGAGAGAGAAAAAAAATTACAAATAAGGGATTGTGAATCTGACTATGATTCTTTTTTGTCTTCTTTTAATGGGAATTAAAGAGAGCTTAAGGAAGGAAATGATATTGATACAGACCTCAAAAGGGTGTTTGCTCTCAAACCCACCATCTTTCACCAAAAAGTAACTTAGGCCCCCTACTATATCCAGTGGGATAGGTCTCAGTCCCTCCTAATTGCAAGGATTACAGGGATTAATACTGTTAGTTTCAGGGTTGCCTTGGAAGCCCAAGTCCTCTCTGAACCTCTAGGCCTGGGTTAAGGGGCAGATCAAAGGCTTCATATCAAACAATAAGAAAGCTTACAGCTGGGTGTAGCTCATGCCTGGTAATCCCAGCACTTTGGGAAGCCAGGGCAGGCGGATTGCTTGAGTCTGGGAGTTCAAGACCAGCCAGCCTGGCCAACGTGGAGAAACCCCACCTCTACTAAGAAAACAAAATTAGGCCAGGCACAGTGGTGGAAACCTATAATCTCGGCTACTCAGGAGGCTGAGGCAGAATTGCATGAACCCAGGAGGTGGAGGTTGCAGTGAACTGATATCACACCACTAACTCCAGCCTGGGCAACTGAGCGAGACTCTGTCACAAAATAAATAAATAAATGACTCAGGCATGATGATGCATGCCTGTAATCCCAGCTACTTGGGAGGCTGAGGCACGAGCATCACTTGTGCCCAGGAGGCAGAGGTTGCAGTGAGCTGAGATCCTGTATGCCACTGCATTCCAGCCTGGGTGACAAAGCAAGACGAAAAGAAAAGAAAAGAAAAAAGGAAAAGAAAGGAAAGGAAAGGAAAAGAAAAGAAGGAAGGAAGGAAGGAAGGCAGGTAGGCAGGCAGGCAGGCAGGCAAGCTTAGAGCTGGGAAAGGCAGAAATCCTCACTGTTCAAAGGCCAATGCATTCATTTCAAAGCTCCTTCCCTTCCCTCCCCAGAGGATTCTCCAAACCGAACCTCACTGCCTTCCCTCCCATCTTCCCCTGCTCCTCCAAGTACCCAGCAGTCCCATTTTAACTGCCTTCCCCTGAGCACTTCAGAACTCAGAAGGATACATTTTGTACATTTCTAAGATCCTGAAACTTAGGACAAGTTCTTAAGTCCCAGGGACTTTTCTCCCATGCCCACGCTTAATCTCTCAACCTTTAATATTAGAAGGGGATTCTATTTCTTTCCATCATAACAAGCTACTATCAGTGTAAAGGAGTTCCAGCTGAAGAAGGAGGTCTACACTTAGCTCACAGTCCTGTCTACACTGGCCAGTGCTCTCAGGGGGAGCCCAGCGACAGCAACAGCTACCAAAACCCTTCCAACCTGACTGGCTGCAGCTCACCCACAGGAAAGGAATCCCTCAGGTCAAAATTTGAGGTAGCCTCTTTCAACTCTTTCTTCCCTCGATCTAGACTTCTTTCCTGTCGTCCTGAACCTGAACCTCCGCAGTCTACCAAGTCCCTGCCAAAATGAGGGCGGAGATACAAGAGCCTTAAACAGATGGTAGAAAGCATCAGCCGGGCTTAGGATTCAAAGGGTGGCAAAACAGGCTGAGTCTCCATGGTGATGGGCTTAATGGGAGAAAAACATTATTTGTTTTGCCACCCAGGGCGAAAATGGGAAAAAGGAAGAGATCAAACCCTCTTCAGTGGGGTAGGAGCAACCAGGAACACTCAAAATAAGGAGGAAGAGGCCAAAGAAAGGACCGCCTGGTGAACTCCTGGTATATTGCGGGAAATTTTAAGACAGAAAGAACAAGTGTGAGGCTGACCAGGAGGAAGACACACAAAAAAGGGACCCAGTGGCAGGGCTGCTGAACCTCACGGCTGGGGGCGTCACTTAGCCCCCGTTTCCTGCCCAGAAGCAGCAGAGCCTGCTCCCCAGCCCTAAAATGCCTCCATGCCCCTCTGACTTTCCCCACCCTCCATTGCTAAGCATCCTCTGCCCCAGCAAGTACCCACCAGGCTCCTCCTTGGAGAGCTCAGCCTGGGGCTCCCGCTCACTGACAGCCAGGGCGTTCCCCTGCTCCTGTGTGGCCACAGCAGCCTGTTCAGCCGGCCCTGACTGGTTTGCCTGGACGCTTCCTTGGCCACTTGATCGCTGCTTCTTCTCAGCTTTGCTGGACATTGTGCAGGCAAAACCTACAGGTACAAAGGAGTGGAGAATCCACAACCAAATCCCACCCCCAGCCCAGCCCCCTGATACAAGTAGTCCCTATTAAATTCATAAATTGACTGAAACTCAAAATGATCATCTTTTCTGGTGGTACCCATACCCTGCTCCGTTAGCCACAAGGGCCCTGTACTCCATAGTGGCCTGGGAGACCTTGCTGTTTTTCCCTAGGATATCCTACTGTCTTCAGGGCACTAGGCTAAAAATCAAAGTCAGTCCCTCAAGGCGTTAGGAATAAACGGTAGTTAAAGATGATGGTCCCGCCGGGCGTGGTGGCTCACGCCTATAATCCCAGCGCTTTGGGAGGCTGAGGTGGGTGATCACCTGAGGTCAGGAGTTCGAGACCAGCCTGGCCAACATGGTGAAACCCCATCTCTACTAAAAATACAAAAAATTAGCCAGGTGTGGTGGTGCATGCCTGTAATCCCAGCTACTTGGGAGGCTGAGGCAGGAGAACTGCTCCAACCTGAGAGGCAGAGGCTGCAGTGAGCTGAGATTGCACCACTGTACTCCAGCCTGGGTGACAGAGTGAGACTCTATCTCAGGAAAAAAAAAAATGATGGCCAAAGAGACACCCCACTAACAAGGATTTAGAACCTCTATCTCTGCCCCGGGGTATAAGAACATAAGATAATCAGGAAAAGATCTATCCAACTGAAGTGTGGTTGCCCAAACCTTCAATCACTCTACCCTCCAGGACCATGGGTAAGTGAGAGAGCCCCAAAGAAGGGAACTCTTGCCCCATCCCCCACCCTTTGTCACTCTTCAATCATTCAAGCAAACCAAGACGATTTTCCTACGTATCTCTTTTCCTCCCAAGTTAAATGGAAAAATGCTCCTCCTAACCACACTAAAATCTGCAACATCTGTAAACAAAGAAAAATGGCATTTGCCACGTCTCTTTGGCTTTGAATTCCTGAGAGGTAGGAACTCTGTGTGTACTGAGGTCTCTTAGCACAGTTGGCTGAGAAACTCTGTGCTGATAGGTCAGGATCATTTATTTGGCTCCAAATGCCCTGAGAAGATTGGAAGCAGCAAAGACAAAAGTCATCCAACAGGCTCACACCTGTAATCCCAGCACTTTGGGAGGCCAAGGTGGGTGGATCACCTGAGGTCAGGAGTTGGAGACCCGCCTGACCAACATGGTGAAACTCCGTTTCTACCAAAAAAACAAAAAATTAGCAGGGCGTGGTAGTGGTCACCTGTATTCCCAGCCACTCATGAGGCGGAGGCAAGAGAATTGCATGAACCCGGCAGGCAGAGGTTGCAGTGAGCAGAGATCTGCCACTGTACTCCAGTCTAGGCAACAGAGCAAGACTCTGTCTCAAATTTGTAGACAACTCCCATCTCCACCTGCAGGGTTCAAGCAATTCTCCTGCCTCAGCCTCCAGAGTAGCTGGGACTACAGGAATGTACTACCATGCCCAGCTAATTTTTTGTATTAATAGTAGAGACAGGATTTCACCATGCTGACCAGGCTGTTCTTGAACTCCTGACCTCATGATCTGCCTGCCTCGGCCTCCCAAAGTGCTAGGATTACAGGTATGAGCCACCGCCCCCGGCCCCCAATAATAAATTTCAAATTGTGTAACGAGGAAAAAGGAATTGGGGCATGAGGAGGGCCACAGTGGTGCCTCTCTCAGAAAGGTAGATGGCAGGAAGCGGGCATCTCGGGCAGGTGCTCAGAATCCCAAGGGCAAAGTCTGAGACGCTGAACACTCTCTTTTCATTCAGCTGCAGCCTAACGCCACCTGTGGCTCTCCTTCCTCATCCCCACAGGCTGCCACAGGCATTGATCTCAGGTTATGAATTTCAAACTTGAAGGATTTCTACTTTGCTCCAAAGAAAAACGTTCTGTTAGGCCAACAAATCAATAAAGCAAGGAGGCTTCCTCCATCAGTCTCCAGGGAAGCATCAAGCTGCGCTTTCCTGCCTCAAACTGGAGCCTGAGACGCCGGCACCGTGGGGTTCACCCTGAGATCCCACACCGCAGGCCCCAGGAGGAGCTGCTCTGCTAACCCGGGGCTCACTCTATTACTAGGAAATACCGCAGGGGCCAGGCTGTCTCCTTAAACTGGTTACCAGCAGGCGAATTTCCCCCCACAATCGCTTCTCCTCCCAACTGTCACAACTGCCCCTCCTCCTCCCCCTCCCTCCACAGCTACCCCTTCTTCTCCCCAACAACTGTCCCTTCCTACTTCGACACTAGTGCCCCTTCTCCCCATCACTCCTTCCCTCCTTCCCTCTGTCCCAACACACACCTCGCCACGCTGACCCTCTCCTCCCTAAGCCGACCGACGGGCCACTCTGGCTAAGAAGTTGCCCGGAGCGGCCCTCTGGAAACGGCGTCTGCACGCGTTCCCAAGGCAACCCAGGGCAGGGAGGGGCGAGTGGCCAGTGCGCTGCCCCGCAGAGCCCGCCTCCTCCGCGCAGGCGCCCTGGATACCTGCTCCGCGGCCCCACCCCGCGCAGGTCTACCTTGCAGGGACCTGGGGCTTGAAAGCTCCGGGGCTAAGAGAAAGTAGCCACATCTGGCCGGCCGGAGGGTGTGGGGGGCCTGGTGTGAGGACCGAGCTGGAAGGGCTGGGGCGGGAGACAGTAGGCTACCGCTCCGCAGAACACTGAAAAGGCGGGGGGAACCTAAGCGCCGGACTCGGCGCCCAGGTCCGTGCGCCCCAGCCGGAACGGGTCCAGCAGATGGCGCCGGGCAGACCCGCCGGCGAGGCGTATTCACGTTCTAGAAAGCGCTCCAGGATTTCCAGGCAGCCGTGGATGCATCTGGATCCGGGGGAAAAACCGGGGCTGGAGCACCCTTGCCCTCCTGCCCCTTCCCCCTTCTTAGTTCGGATTGGGGTCTAGGGTTGCGGGGCGGAGCGGGGCGGGGAAAGGGAGGGAAGACAGGAACTGGAGTCTTGGGAATCTGAGGATTGGCTTTCGAAAGTGTCGCTGGTTTTTGGGGGGGACAAGAGGCGGGGACTCCCTGGGGAAGGTGACCGGGTCTGGGAGGGGCTTCGCTCTCCATAGGAACAAAGGCTGCGTAGTGGGGAGGCGTGTAAGGGCCGGGGCAGATCTCCGAGGGTGCCAGGGGGCGCTGCGGGCCGGGGCTGCTAGAAGGCGCCTGAAAGACCGCTGTACCTGGGGCCGGGAGGAGCTTTGGAGAGACCTGGGAAATACAGGGAGGAAGCCGAGTCGGCGGATGGGAAGGCGCCCTCCCTGTTTCCATCAATAGTGCCTAATTAAGACAAAGCCAGCAGCGAGCCCACTGATTACATTTCCATGAGGAGCGAAATTGATGACATTTTCTTTACTGGATGAGGAGAAGCTGGCACCTCAGTTCCCCCTTTTTCTGCTTGGCGTTCACACCTAACAGATCTCATTATGCCAGTCTGGCACTGCCAGGAATGGCAGTCCCTGGCACTCCTGAAGACCAAGTGGATTAGCCACACCGTGACCCAGCCCTGACCTCACCCACCTACTCTATCTTGATTCGCAGAAATGTCAGCCCTTTCCTTCGCCCTGATCCCCAGTGATTCTTAAGGTGGGCTTCTGGACTCTGATCTGTGGCCTTCTGCCCAGCAAGACTCCTGTTGCTGACAGCAGGAATGGAAGGAGAGACGAGTCCCGCCCACCCCAAAACCAGCTGCACAGCAAGCACAGCTAAAATGGAACATGGAGGTGTTCCTCTAGCCAGATAGGCCATGGGTGGCAGACAGAGGTGATGTGATTGGCCAGAATCCCTAGGGAAAAGTCCCAGACCAGTGAAAATTTGCTGGAGGAGTGGGGTGGGGAGCCCCATGGGGAAGGTTCGTTGGTCCCTTGGGGAAAGGAACTTTGCACAGACCCCATTTTCTTACACCCCCCTCCTCAACTGTGGCTGTGCCTACAGATCCCAGCCCCCCACATTATGCTAAATAGGTAATCAAACATCTCGCTTTGCTAATTACTGCTCAATCCGATTAAACGCTGCTGAAGCTCATCAACAGAGGCGGAGATAGTGGGAAGGGATGAAGGCGGGGCAACCACAGCTAGCTATGATGGGGGTCTTGTCCCCAGGGGCTCTCAGGGGACAGAGAAACAGCTAGGGTTGCAAGACCAAGTACATCCCAAAGGAAAGGGCAGAAGAGTTGTAACCTCAAGACCCAGCCTTGCTGCACCTCCCAGCCACGGGCCTTTTCCTCCTCCCAGAACCTTCATTACCCTCCGAACCCAGGCATCCGGCCATTCCCACAGCTCCCCACACACACCCCTGTCCCAGATTTAATAAGTTCTGTTCCCACATTGTCAATATTTGATTTCTCAGAGCCATCTCCACGGAGAGGGGGGTGGGGGGGTCTTCCCTTGCCTCCCCCCTACCTTGGCCCTCTTTTGCCCACCCCTAGTCTCTTTGTGCCCCCAACCCTCTCTGAACTTGCTGACTTAATGAAATGATATTAAAGTCTTAAGCAACTCCAAAAGAATGGTTGTCATGGTGAAGGGAGTGGGCAGGACGCCTGGGTCCCCGAGGGGAGCAAGAGCTGAGGCGGGGGTGGGGGTGAGAGAGAGCCAGAGGCTAAGGTCTAGAGGCCCCAGTCCCCAGTGGGGAACAGCAGATTTGGGGTGAGCTGGGGGCCAGACCTCTGGATCTTGGCTGGAAGCAGGGGATGAGGATTGGGGGCTAGGAGAAGGTGAAAAGAGAGGACATTCCAGGGGTCAGGGTCTTGGCCTGCTGTCTGGAGCATCCATCAGAGACAGAGAGGCCAGGGGGGACAGAGCCTCTATGCTAGCAGCCTCCCTGCCGACTGTGCCCTGGGCTGGTCCCGTGAGAACCAGAGTAGATTCCTCTACAGGCTGACTCATCCTTCTCCCCCAATAGCCCCCCACAGGTGATTTGTAGCTGATGCCCCCACGATGGTAGGGGCCAGGATAGTCATTCCATGACATGAAGAACTGAGAGCTTCCAGGAGAGAAGAGAACAGAGGCCAAGGGAAGGGAAGCCAAACACCACCCCCACATCCCCCCACCCATCCCCATCTTGCTCCCCTGGGGACCCTGGCCCAGCCCCAGTCCCCTTGGGGTGGTGGGAATGCAAGGACATTTGGCTGGGGCTGATTGATGAGGGAGGAGGCAGCCACGGGCACTGAGGCTGCTGTTTGCTGAGCACACAGATTCCTCCCCACTCACCAGCTGCCGCCCCCTGAGGCTGCTCAGTCCACCCCCCCCAACATCACTCCACCAGCCACGGGGGTTAGGGGGAGCTGGTGCCTGAGTTTCTGATGGCAACTGGAGGAAGAGGGAGAACCAGGAAGCTGAATGCTTTGATTCCCTGTGGGAATCGGGGGTCCCTGGGGTCTGGTACCCTCAGAACTCCACTTTCCCTGCTACTTTTTTTTCCTTTTTTGTTTTATGAGAGGGAGTTTTACTCTTCTTGCCCAGACTGAGTGCAATGGCGTGATCTCGGCTCACCGCAACCTCCGCCTCCCAGGTTCAAGCGATTCTCCTGCCTCAGCTTCCCAAGTAGCTGGGATTACAGGCACGGGCACCACCATGCCCGGCTAATTTTGTATTTTTAGTACAGACAGGGTTTCTCCATGTTAGTCAGGCTGGTCTTGAACCCCCTACCTCAGGCGATCCACCTGCCTCGGCCTCCCAAAGTGCTGGGATTTCAGGCATGAGCCACCACACGCAGCCTCCCTGCTACCTTTCAAGTAGCTCTCTGGCTGCCCAGTTGTCATTCCCATTTATTCCATGTCCTTTTTTCTTCCCCCACCCAACCATCTGAGCCTATGCCAACCAGCCTCCTGCCTCCAAACCACCCTGCGACATTTCTCCCAGGTCTGAAAACTCTCCCAAGCCCCATGTCCGAGGTTGCCCACATAGCCCCTTAGGAAGCACTGTTTTTCATTCTAACTAAAATTCCAGAAGCCCTATCAACCATTCCCCATTAGAAATTCCCACTGCAAGGCCAGGTGCAGTGGCTCACACCTATAATGCCAGCACTTTGGGAGGCCAAGGCCAGTGGATCACCTGAGGTCAGGAGTTCAAGACCAGCCTGGCCAATGTGGTGAAACCCTCTCTACCAAAAATACAAAAAATTAGCTGGGGCTGGTGGCACATGCCTGTACTCCCAGCTACTCAGGAGGCTGAGGCATGAGAATTGCTAGATCGAGCCACTGTACTCCAGCCTGGGCCACAGAGCAAGATTCTGTCTCAA